GAGGCTGAGGCAGGAGAATTGCCTGAACCCAGGAGACGGAGGTTGCGGTGAGCCGAGATCGCGCCATTGCACTCCAGCCTGGGTAACAAGAGCGAAACTCCGTCTCAAAAAAAAAAAAAAACCACATTTTATTACCCTTTACTTACTTAACACATGGAGAATGTTAAACAAACAGTAAATCATATAGTTCATCAATGATGCAAGAGTATGGGTTACAATTTCATTTTCACCTCCCTTCATTTGCAAAATTGTGTCAAAGCTTATTTTCTATCATCAGTAACAAAAAGCACAGAAATAATCAAATAGGATATGGAGAGTCACTAAATAATTAAGTCTTGGCTACTTTATCCTGTAAGAAACTATACTACCTTTAAAAAATAGGAAATAAATGTTCCATGACAGAAGGATAAAATAATAAACCATTAAACATTGACACAATGAGTAATTAGCCATAGAAAAAGCTATAAAGACACAAAAGATAAATGAAGGACTATGTGTAATTTAATAAACAGAAACGCAAAATACAAAATGGTATGTAATTATGTAAAACATATATGAGACACAGTAAGTTAATATTCTAAAAGTTGTTTGGATTGAGATTATAATTTTTTTCATATCTTCTATAAATTAGGATCCTACAGTTTAACTTTTTAAAATCAGCTATTCCAATACGTACGTGTGTCTGTGTGTGCATACAATAATAAATATCTCAAATACCTTTCTGTTGTAATAGCTCTGATGGCTGTGTAACTGAGGTCACAGGCTCAACTGGGTGATTTGCAGTGGGAGGTGTTCTTGTTGATGAGGATCCTGATAAAATAGTGGAAACTACTGGGCTGGACTTGGGAGACTGAACATTTTGCATAACAGGACAGGATAAAGAATCTGCAATTGAAGACAAGAAACTATTTCATCCACAGAAACTTGAAATATATTTAAATAATAGATATTACTATATAGAATAATGTATGTAATATATAACTATGTATTACAATTATATATAATATATATCACTAACAAAATACAGTTTATCTGAAGTTCTTGTAGAAACTTCAATAGCATCACATTTACCTAGTACATCTAGAAAAGAAGGTGGTCCAAATGATTTTTTAAAAACTGAAAAGTTACTCATCAAATGTTTTAATAAATTTTATTGACAATTTTCCAAAAATATTTCACAATCTTCCTTACCTTCTTAAACAAAATGAACTCAAACAACTTTTACTTACTAATGATCTCTATGAACACTAGTTATTGTACAGATTATTTGTACTATGCAATGGTGACTCAGGTAAGGAGACGAATAGAGGTTTCTGACTCTGCAATAATGTGGTCTCTGAATTCCATAAACACTTCCAGTATCAGTTCAGATCTCGTTTTGCACTATAAACTGCCACTTCTCATCTGCTGTTTCTAAACAGATGCCTTATTTCACATGTAACTAAATAAGGGCCTAACCATAACATGAGGTTGAACTTCTGGAATAAAGTGCACATGACTCATCGTGGGTCTTTGTGATAGCTCAAAATACCAAAAGTCTCCTCGAAGGCAAAATCGTCCCTGGTTGAGAAACAATGGGTAAGTTATTGAAGATAATCTTCCAGTTTATCCAACCAAGAGATAACTGAAAAACCTATGGTAAAAGACTAGCGGTGAGCAGTCACTATATACTGAATAAATCTACACACATATACCTGCACATATATGTATGTGTCTTTATGTATGGTGTGTGTGTGTATACATAAGTAAACAATCTTAGTTCTGGAACTAAAACAAATAGTAATATGGTGACAAAACAAAATGTGTTATATATCCTAAACAGTGTAAAAACAACATAAACAGGTATGAGGAACACGGAAAGAAGGCAGAAGGTAGTCTAAATATGTTGACTGCTTCATCATTTTTAGTAGGAAGAGAAACTGTCATTGTGGAAGACTGAAAACATCATCACAGTATTTTACAGTTCCTTTCACTAATATGGAGTCTATTTTACTACCCTTTGAATGGGAGCAAACTGTGACTGACTTTAATCAACAGAATGTGGCAGAAATAAAAGCATACAAGTCCCAGACCTCAAGTCTTAAGGAGCACCACAGCTTATGCCTTTCCCCTATGAAATGCTGCGTGGATTATCATACAGAGAAGCCGGTCTAGCCACGTGGAGAAAGACCTAGGCACACCAGTAAAGTGTCTGCACCAGCTGCTAGACATGTGAGTGAAGCCATCTTAGAATCTTCTAGTCCTGCAAATCTCCAGCTAAATGAATTCACATGAACGAGTTCAAGAAAAACCAGAACTACCCAGCAAACTCATAAAACCAAGAAAAATAATAAATCATTGTTATTTTAAACCAGCAATAACTGACATTATCACTAAAACTGCCAACATAAAACAGTGATTAAAAATATTCAACGGTATACAAATAAAAACTGAGAAAGATATATTTATTTAAAATTAGGGTCGGGTGTGGTTGCTCATGCCTACAATCCCAGCACTTTAGGAGGCCAAGGTGGGCAGACTGCTTGAGCCCAGGAGTTTGAGACCAGCCTAGGCAACATGGTGAAACCTCATCTCTACCAAAAATTACAAAAATTAGCCAGGGACAGTGGTGCGCACCTGTGGTCCCCAGCTACTCATGAGACCCAGGTGGGAGGATGGCTTGAGCCCAGGAGGAGGAGGTTTCAGTGAGCCAAGGTCATGCCACTGCATGTCACTGCACTCCAACCTGAGTGAAAGCAGGGGACCCTGTCTCAAAAATATAAAATCAATCATATCAGGTGCATGTGTATATATATGTATGTATCAATACACATGAATATATATAAAGCATAATAAATACCCATGAACTCAGCACCCAATTTTGAAAATAAAACATTTCTAATATTGCTGAAGCTCTCAATATGCTCCTCACAGAAAGCATTCCCCTGCCCCTCCTGAATCATGTTTATTATTCTCTTGTTTTTGTTTTCAAATAGCTTACCACATATATATGCATCCCTAGATATTATTTTT